TGTGTTGTGGTGTTTGTTGACTTGTTGTTGCTGTATCATCTGTGTGTGATGACTTGTTGTTGCCGTATCGTCTGTGTGTTGTGGTGTGTGTTGACTTGTTGTTGCCGTATCGTCTGTGTGTTGTGGTGTTTGTTGACTTGTTGTTGCCGTATCATCTGTGTTGTGGTGTTTGTTGACTTGTTGTTGCCGTATCGTCTGTGTGTTGTGGTGTTGGTTGACTTGTTGTTGCCGTATCGTCTGTGTGTTGTGGTGTTTGTTGACTTTTTGTTGCCGTATCAACTGTGTGTTGTGGTGTTTGTTGACTTGTTGTTGCCGTATCATCTGTGTGTTGTTGCCGTATCGTCTGTGTGTTGTGGTGTTGGTTGACTTGTTGTTGCCGTATCGTCTGTGTGTTGTGGTGTTGGTTGACTTGTTGTTGCCGTATCGTCTGTGTGTTGTGGTGTTTGTTGACTTGTTGTTGCCGTATGATCTGTGTTGTGGTGTTTGTTGACTTGTTGTTGCCGTATCGTCTGTGTGTTGTTGCCGTATCGTCTATGTGTTGTGGTGTTGGTTGACTTGTTGTTGCCGTATCTTCTGTGTGTTGTGGTGTTTGTTGACTTGTTGTTGCCGTATCGTCTGTGTGTGTTGACTTGTTTTTGCCGTATCGTCTGTGTGTTGTGGTGTTTGTTGACTTTTTGTTGCCGTATCGTCTGTGTGTTGTGGTGTTGGTTGACTTGTTGTTGCCGTATCGTCTATGTGTTGTGGTGTTGGTTGACTTGTTGTTGCCGTATCGTCTGTGTGTTGTGGTGTTTGTTGACTTGTTGTTGCCGTATCGTCTGTGTGTGTTGACTTGTTGTTGCCGTATCGTCTGTGTGTTGTGGTGTTGGTTTACTTGTTGTTGCTGTATCGTCTGTGTGTTGTGGTGTTTGTTGACTTTTTGTTGCCGTATCGTCTGTGTGTTGTGGTGTTGGTTTACTTGTTGTTGCTGTATCGTCTGTGTGTTGTGGTGTTTGTTGACTTTTTGTTGCCGTATCGTCTGTGTGTTGTGGTGTTTGTTGACTTGTTGTTGCTGTATCGTCTGTGTGTGTTGACTTGTTTTTGCCGTATCGTCTGTGTGTTGTGGTGTTTGTTGACTTATTGTTGCCGTATGATCTGTGTTGTGGTGTTTGATGACTTGTTGTTGCCGTATCGTCTGTGTGTTGTTGCTGTATCGTCTATGTGTTGTGGTGTTTGTTGACTTGTTTTTGCCGTATCGTCTGTGTGTTGTGGTGTTATTTGACTTGTTGTTGCTGTAATGTCTGTGTGTGTTGACTTGTTGTTGCCGTATCTTCTGTGTGTTGTGGTGTTTGTTGACTTGTTTTTGCCGTATCGTCTGTGTGTTGTGGTGTTGGTTGACTTGTTGTTGCTGTAATGTCTGTGTGTGTTGACTTGTTGTTGCCGTATCTTCTGTGTGTTGTGGTGTGTGTTGACTTGTTGTTGCCGTATCGTCTGTGTGTTGTGGTGTTTGTTGACTTGTTGTTGCCGTATCGTCTGTGTGTTGTGTTTCTTGACTTGTTGATGCCGTATCGTCTGTGTGTTGTGGTGTTTACTACCTGTTGTTGTGATTTGGCGCTATATAAATAAAATTGAATTGAATTGAATCAACATGTAGGTCAGAGCGGACAGCAAGGAGGAGAAGAAGAACAATTTGCTGCTTTCTGAATAAGTTTGTTATAGAGGAAATGGATAATAAAAAGTAATTTTGGCTGCTTCTCTGTTTTTCTGCTATATGCTCCAAAAGACTAAAAACATAATTTAAAAACAGGCCGAATCATTTCTGATGTTTCTGCTGATGTTGGACTGACTTTCCTCTACATCTTCATCTACATTTCCTCCACATTATTATTATTATTATTATTATTATTATTAGTAGTAGTAGTAGTAGTAGTAGTAGTAGTAGTAGTAGTATAATTATTAATATTATTTTACATTCTGAAAATCGCATGTGCTGCTTCACTGTGTCACATATGATGTTTGTGTGGAAAAGTGTGGAAAAGACATCAGCTATTATTTTTTATGTGTGACATTGTTTAGTCAAATTGTGCTGCATCTCAATACCGTAAAACTAATGAACATTAATCTCAATAATTAACATTATAATATATATTAACATTACCCCCCCCCCCCCCCCCCCCCCCACGCACACACATTTGTGCTCATATATTAAAGTGTGATGCTAAAATTAATTTTATTAGCTCACATATTGTAGGGTTTCTTTTCCTGCATCTCTGCTGCCACAGTGACCCAGTTTTCCCCACAGGGATCTTCTAAAGCCTGATCTAAACATTAACGCTTCGTGTACAGGAGAGGAGTAGTGAAAGACTCAGTGCAATATCAGTCTGAGGTGTGCTGCCTGTTGGATGGATCAATATGACCTTGATATGTATTTCAAGTTTTGAGAACATGTGAAAGCATTCGCTGGTTAAAGTGCCGTCCGAGTGTGTGTGTGTGTGTGGGGTGGGGGGTGGGGGCAGAGGCCCAGATGGGTCTTGTCTCATGCAGCAAATGGGCTTCAATTAATGGACAGGAAAACCTGAAAGTAGCGTTGGCACCAGCTCTTATAATGAACTCTCACTGTGGAAGTGTCACCACAAATGTTTCTGATAAGCAGAAGCAGCTGAGGATCAAAGCCTCTAAGCTGCTCACTCTGCTCCACTTCCTCCGTCCTCCCCTACGTCTGCAAGTCTGAAACACAGACTACAATCCTGTCCTTAGGTCTGCCTCAGTCTGTGGCTTCAGGTTTGCTCACCAGCACAGCTGCTGCAGGAATATGAAGCTCACTATGTGGACTACAGTCATGTTCCACCAGAACCAGCAGATCCTGCTGATTTCCAGCACGTGTCTGGCTTATTGATGACAAAGGTTTATATAAGTGGACATTTTTAATATGAATAACATTTTAATTTCGGAGACAGACAGCAGGTCAGCCTGTTCATGTTAGTAGTCAAAGTAGCAGAAACCGTTTTACTTCAGTGATCAATGGATGATCAGAAGAGATGCTGATCATTACTGCTGCTGTATATGTGCCAGTCCTGTCTGCATGCTGGCTTCCAGCATCTTTTTAATATGTCCCTTAAAATGTGGGTGTTTGGTGCGAGGTGGCGTGGGGGAAAGGGGAGGTTAATCCCAGTTTAATACGCTGATGCTCAGCCCAGGACAGAGGCTGCTGTGATGATTGTGTTATCTCCAGCCAACATTTGGGTCTCCCTCAATTTCACCCGGCAAAATAGCTGCGAGAAAGTGCAGATGGAGTGGAGGAGGCTGCCCGGGGAAAAGGGTGATTAATAGCTGCTGTGGAACTTCCACCACCCGTAAAGCTGCTTCTCGTAACTTCCACTGGGTACTCTCTCCATCCTCACCGTCCATGCCCTTTCTCTCAGCCAAGGTGACTGCACAGGTTGTGCATCTGTGTGGGAACCAGCACATTGACCACAATCTGCAAAGCAGAACACAGTGTTCATGGAGAACCCTCCACAGACTGTAAACAGCCTGACCCTGAACTGCTCTATCAGAGGAACTTCTTTGATTATGTTTCCACTGTGTTCTGGAAATACATCACATTTAAACAGTAATCTACAGAATATGATCATTATTATCATTATTTTCTACAGAGGTCTGATGCCGTTACTGCATGAACTAATTCTACAGACTGATTGATCTCTTCTGATGTGTCTGTAAACCTTTTAGCATGTAGCATGTGTAGCATCAGTAAAAACAGTAAAAAGTGTTAGTCTCAGTCACACCACCTTCACTCAGATTCAATCTCTTTGGCTCGGCCTGAGACCCTGCCAATATGCCACCAGAAACAATCCCATAAAGCAAATGAAATGAATATTTGAAAATACAATCTAAACAACAGGAGAGGAAACCTTCAAATCTCCCGAATTTGCGCCGCTGGCTGCACACCACGAAGTGAGCCGCTGAAAGATGAAAGTGAAAAGAAATAAAAGGCTCAATTTAATCTGCTTTAAAACCCTTTAACAGAATGCATGTGCCTGGGACTGTGAGAGTGAGGGCTGATAGGGGATAAAAATATTTCTTACCATGCCTTCCAGCTATTACACCCCGCTCCCATTCAACACACACCGGTTTCATTACCAGCTGTAATAAGCTAAGTCTTCCACTGATTAAATGCCAGGCCCGGCTGACAGAGAGACAGTAGCAGCGCTGATCTTTGGAAGAACATAAAAAGGAGGAAAGATGATAGAGTTTGGAAAAATATAAATGTCACCAGTGGAACCAGCGGTACCAGTAGAAGCAATGATCAGGAACCACAGGCCTAAAGTCAAAGTCACAAACAGCTGATTCTCCAAAATGCTCCAGCCAAATAGTGAAATGATTCTGCTGCAGCACCCTGAGTGAACCACCATGAGTTATTCATGGTGTGAAGCATCTCAGGATATCTATAAATATATGTTTCCAGTTTATAATTTGAGAGAAACGTTCCTTAAATCCTCTCTTACTCATCCACGTGTAGAAATATTTACAGAACCCTGGAGGCCAGCACAGATTAAATGTAACCTAAAATCATCTGTTCCTTAATATTTTACACCTTAAAGAAGATTTAAGGTATTTTTTTATAAGTGTGATACAATAATAAAACATGAACAATAACATGATCAGTCTGTCTAATCAAATCTTTCTGACTGGGAACAGAAGAGGATTCTTTTCTCCACATTTTAACATTTATCTCTGGGGTCTGTGGGCCCCAGCTCCCGGCCGACTCCTGTCAGCCTTTAGGCCTAATTGATATCGACAGCACATCGGAGCGTTTAAACAGCGCCACGGGATCCCGGTCCTCCCCAGCGCCCCATCATGAATAATGAAGCGGCTGCTGTCTGCTGGGATGGAGCGCAGCGCGCAGAGACAAAACGCCGTTTAGGCCCAATTTGTAACAATTCACCGACAGACAGACAACCAGCAGCTGCCGGCCGGGCTGCGGGGCCCGGGTCCTCGGCCTGCGGTCCCGGATAGTGGCCTACCTTTGTCTCCGAGGATCCCGTCGATGCTGTGTTTGGTTTTCTTTTCTCCGTCTTCATCCTTTTTATCACACTCCTCCTCATCGTCCTTTTTCCCAAAGCGAGCTCGAAGAACGCGGCTGATGGAGCTCACTGCAGACAGACAGCAGCTCCAGTTATTATATTAATAATGATTATAACATTTATAATATTAATAATAATATGGGGGGGGGGCGATAAAAAAAACAAACAAACAATGGGCTAATAACAATAATAATAGGTAATAATAATGATATAACATTTATAATAATAACAATAATAATAATAATAATAACAGCCCCCCTCCCAGCTCCGCTTCCTGTTCATTGAATTGAATGAAGAACGGAATTAAAGTCGGCTTACCGGAGGAGGCCTCACCTGAAGGGACTGTGCTTCTGTCACACACGCCGTCCTTCAGCAGCTTGTCTCGGATCTCCCAGCTGAACATTCCGGGGTTGTCCCGCTTGTACTCCTCTATCCGCTTCTCCACGTCCGGCGTGGCTACCTGCTGCAGGTGGGACAGGTCGGTGAGCGCGTGCTGCCAAACAACACTGGCACGAGGCCGGGAAAAAAATGAACCTTATCATTATTATTTGTTCGTATTCCGTGGCCGGCTCTGCTCACCCTCGGCTTGCTGCCTCCTATCGCTCCAGGCCGGATGGATCCGGTCTCCTGGTAGCGGCACAGAATCTTGGAGACGCAGCCGTGGGAGACCCGCAGCTGTCGGGAGATGACGCAGGGCCGGATCCCGTGGTGGGCCATCTCCACTATCTTGTGTCGGATGTGGTTGGGCAGCGGCCGGCCGTTAATGAAGACCCCCCCGAGCTGGTTGACTCGTCCCTGACCCAGAGGAGTGGACACTGTGGAGGACACGAACCGGATTCAGCTGGCATGATTTAACCAGGAGACGGAACAGGGTCCGTTTCCCCGCCTGCCAGCTAGCTGGTGGAGGACGGAACATATTCATAAAGGCCAGAGATTATTAATCAATGATCTACATATTAATAAACTGTAAAAATATTAACACAGGCCGAAGCATATTAATTTCTAAAGTGTAGGCTAAACATATTAATAAAGTGTAAACATATTAATAAAGACATATTAATGAAGACATCTTAATAAAGTGTAAACATATTAATAAAGACATATTAATGAAGACATATTAATAAAGTGTAAACATATTAATAAAGACATATTAATAAAGTGTAAACATATTAATAAAGACATATTAATAAAGTGTAAACATATTAATAAAGACATATTAATGAAGACATATTAATAAAGTGTAAACATATTAATAAAGACATATTAATAAAGTGTAAACATATTAATAAAGACATATTAATGAAGACATATTAATAAAGTGTAAACATATTAATAAAGACATATTAATAAAGTGTAAACATATTAATAAAGACATATTAATGAAGACATATTAATAAAGTGTAAACATATTAATAAAGACATATTAATAAAGTGTAAACATATTAATAAAGACATATTAATGAAGACATATTAATAAAGTGTAAACATATTAATAAAGACATATTAATGAAGACATATTAATAAAGTGTAAACATATTAATAAAGACATATTAATGAAGACATATTAATAAAGTGTAAACATATTAATAAAGACATATTAATAAAGTGTAAACATATTAATAAAGACATATTAATGAAGACATATTAATAAAGTGTAAACATATTAATAAAGACATATTAATAAAGTGTAAACATATTAATAAAGACATATTAATGAAGACATATTAATAAAGTGTAAACATATTAATAAAGACATATTAATGAAGACATATTAATAAAGTGTAAACATATTAATAAAGACATATTAATAAAGTGTAAACATATTAATAAAGTCGAAACATATTAATGAAGTCTAAACATAGGCTATTAATAAAGTCTAAACATATTAATGAAGTCTAAACATATGCTATTAAAAAAAGTCTAAACATATTAATGAAGACATCTTAATAAAGTGTAAACATATTAATAAAGTCGAAACATATTAATAAAGTGTAAACATATTAATGAAGTCTAAACATAGGCTATTAATAAAGTCTAAACATATTAATGAAGTGTAAACATAGGCTATTAATGTAAACTGAAACATACTAATGTAGGCCGGAACATATTCATGAACTGTAAAAATATAGGCCTAAACACAGGCCGGAGCATATTAGGCCGAAAAAATGTATTAAAGAAGTGTAAACATATTCATGAAGGCCGAAAAATATTAATGCAAGCCGGAACATATTGATGAACTATAAAGATATTAAAGAAGTGTAAAGATATGAATGTAAACTCTATTATTCTCTCGGTTATTGAACTGTAGAGAGAAACAGAGTTCCATTATCGGACGTCGCGTGTCTATGCTGAAGAGGAGATGAAGAGCTCCTTCTGTCCTTCTTCATTATTCCCCATCATGCTGTCCACACCTCTGTAGCCTAATCCTCTGCTGGGCTTTGGCTTCACCTTCCAGGCGCGGGGCACTGAAGAAATCCCACACGTGTGCTTTACCCTCATAGATTAATAAATTAAGTGCATGGGAGCCGAGGACCATTTAGTAATCAGCCCAGGAATTTAATGTTAGTCTGGTAAATATTACCTAATATTCAACATCCTAATATATATATTTAGGCTGTTGCATATTAGGCCTATAAAGATTCATATTGAACAGCCTAAATATAAATGTTGTGCTGTTCAATATTAAGTTAAAAAGGTAGTTTTTAATAGGAGTCCGGCATGGGAGGGGTAAAGGGTTGTAATTAAAAAAAAGGCCTCGGCTCTTTTAGCTTAGCATCGGCATAATTTTATTTTCAAAAGCAGCTCTCAAGTTTTCAGTCTCCTCACAGACTCTCCTGCGGGGGTCTTTGGGCCCAGCAGGCTGCGGACCGAAGCCTACCTTCCAGAGGGAATCCGGTACGGGGGTAGTTCTGTCCGGGACCCGGGCGCATCATCCGCGGAACCGTTCCTGGCAAAGACGACATTGTACCATTAAAAAAAACAGATGGAAAAGGTAAAGAAAAGAAAAAGGAAAAGGACGGACGCGTCTCTGGAGGTCCAGTTCAGGGGGAGACTTGTTGGTCCCGAGCGTGTGAAGGAGGGCCGGTCTGACAGGTCCAGAGGTTAAAGAGCGATCCGAGATGCTGAGGCGGCAGGGAGTCCCCAACATGGGCTATTTAACCGCTGGGAAGCAGGACTGCTTCCCCAGGATACAAGTCTGGACCAGGCGGGCTCCAGAAGGGGGGCCGGATCGTGAGCACTGATAGGTTCTTGGAGCTTTCTCTTATTCGAGAGGGAGACGCTCCAATAAGTTCCAGCAGCCAATGGGAGCGAAGGGATACAGCAGCAGCACGGTGCAGGGGTGGACAGAAAAACAGAAACACCTGCAGTAAACAGTGTGTGTTGATCCCGAGCTGCTGCTGGTATCTACACACACACAAACACACACACAAAAACCTGACAAGCATCATTAACAGAAACACATTTCTGCTAAATCCTGATGAAAGAAGAGCTGATTTTAACTTGACCTTCAGTCTTGACTATGCCACACTTTTGTTCCCTGGGTTTTGTCTCTTAGGCTACAAACAGGCTGCACTATCCCTGCTGTTGGTGGAGCTTCAGGAGAAGACATTTCAAGCTTAAGGTGCAAAATAATATAGATTACATACATTTAAAGACATATATTTTCATATTTATTTATATATTCATATTTTCATATTTTAAAGAGCAAATGAATAGAGCAAAATACTATAAATTCTGAGGTGACAGGTGGAGCCATAAAAATATATATATGACTATGTAAAGTAGGTCAGATGAATATGTAAGTATATATACACAGTATATGTAATACTATTACAACAGCACAATACTGCACCGGTAGGGGCATTATTCAGGGATAGGGCTGCAACTAATTTTCTCAATTGATTAACTAGTTGTTTGGTCTATAAAATGTCAGAAAATGTGGGTCAGTGTTTCCCAAAGCTCAAGAAGATGACCTCAACATCCCCAAAGATCTTCAGTTTACTGTCACAGAGAAACCAGAAGATATTCACATTTAAGAAACTGCAATAGAGAATTTTTACTTAAACAGATCATTTGATTATCAAAATAGCTGCAGATTGATTTAATAGTTGACAACTAATCGATTAATCGTTGCAGCTCTATTCAGGGAATGTATGTAGGCCCTTGGCTCTCCTTGTTGGGGCCACAGACAGGCAAAACTCAGGGATGCAAAAACTACTGCACCACCTACTGACTCACACCTGACAAGGTGTCATATCAGTAAGCCTGCAGCCTTATAGTCAGCATATCTAATTCCTTAAGAACCTCATGTGTTATTAATAATATACAGTCAGTGTGTGCATGTAAGTAGAATACAAAAAAATATAAATAACTTTTTAACGTTTTCACTTTGTGTCTCGTAATAAAACACAGAAACAAAGGCTTAAGACTTTCCTCTTCGATAAAGCTTATAGTTAGGGCTGGCTCAGGTGAGTCCTGATTCATCCCTTAGTTATGCTGCTATAGGCCTAGACTGCCGGGGGATTTCCCATGATGCACTGAGCTCCTCTCTCCTCTACTTTCTCTCCCTCTGTATGCAACCTCATCCCATTATTGCATGTTACTAACACAACTTCTCCCCTTTCCGGTAGTCTTCTGCTTTCTCGTCCCTCTCCTCTCTCCTCCTATCACCTCCTATCTCCTCCTGGCCAATCGGGGGAAACGGAACAAATGTCGGTGGCCTGCGGGCTAATTTGGCCTGCCACTGACAATCCTGAACAACACCATATCATCATTAGCAAATTTGAGCCAGCTCGCACTCTATTCACTTTTGACAAATACAGCTCTTCTCTGTTAGGAAGCTTCAACTCTTATCAAATTAACTCATGGTTTCAGTGGTAAACCACCACAACAATAACAATTACCTACAAAAACATTAAATTCTAAGCAGACACCTTTTAAGAATACATCAATCATGAATCAATCAAACAAATGGCAAACTTATTAGCAAATTTGAACAAAACCTTCACCGCTATGCATCATGGGAAGTCTGTGGGGCAGACTACGTAGCCTATCACCCCGGACTCACACAAGCAGTGTGTGAACTGCGGTTTAGTTCTGTCTGCTGACCGGCTTCAACTTCCACTGGAAACCCCTCAGCATTTCAGCAGCAGAGTGTGAAGCCTGCACAACGTAAATAATTTGTTTTTTGTCCTTTTGTGATTCTACTTCGTTCTTCACTGTGGCTCGCACATAGACTGTATATAAAAAGGGCCCACATTAGTTCCCTCATCCCACAAGGAGCATTTTAGAATAACAGCGTTTTGCCTGTGTGATTTTGCTGACATGTTTAGATTTTGTTGATTTGGTGATAAGTGCTTGCTTTATGTACTTCTACTATGATTATTTAGGCTATCTAGTTAAAACAGACAAAAAGAAACAATTTAACTGTGTTAAGTGTTGATATACGATTGGGAGTCCGTACAGGGTATTTTATTTTGAAAATTGACCAGATACATCAACAAATAGGGTTTGTCCCATAATCCAGGGGTTTTCAAGTGTGAGACAGGCTCCCTAGGGGGGGTCCAAACAGTTTCAGGGGAGGCTCAGTAAATGGAAATGAAACAATATTACATTACTTGTCATTGTATGAGGAGAGGCCCATAGTCTCAGACTTTGAACACCCCTGCCATAGACTGTATATAAAAAGGTTAGTCCACAAAAATTAGCAGTTTGGTGGTTTGTGTGAAGTGGCCTGGGGTCGAGTCAAATTCCCAACCTAAATTCTTGTGCCAGTCTGCCCCTGCGCACACACACACGCACAGCCTGATTTGTGCTGTTTTAAGACCCGGCTGTTTAGTTATGACTGATTATTATTATACATTTAAAATGATCTCTCTTTAATACGCGTTTTGAAGAAATGATGTGATCAAGGGACAAACTCCTGTTAAGGTCCTGAAAGATCCACACAACGACAGAGGTGGTCAGGTTCTGAGCAGAGAACAGTCAGAACTACTACGTCTTTCAGTGTAATGATTTCACATTTAAAAGTTGTGTTTGCGTAGATGCATTTTATTACAATAAAAGTTTTGAAGTTTTGAAGTTTTTTTTATTCTCAGTCTTCCTAAAAAGCTCAACTCAGATTGTTTGGTGGATCAGTCTTTATTTTGGCCTAAAAACTGAAAACAGAAATGAACCTACTGATTTAAACAGACATAAATTAATAGATCTATGTCATAAAAGATTAGAAAGGTGGAAATATATTCAGGCTGTTATTCTTCCTTTAGTTTACATGAACACGGCAATATTTTGACAAAAATAGTTTTTTTCTAGTACAGTTTTTACAATCGCTAACATCCTTTTGTTCAATCTGTAACCACATTCTCAAAATTCTAAACACAATTAGTCAGTTCAGGATCAGTTTTTTCTTTACGTACAAGCTTACCCAATACCAAAACTATGGATGTTTCTTATTTACAAATGCTTGCACACAACATGTTAGTAATGATGACATCATTTTCAAAACCTTATATAATATATACAGCCTCGACTTCTGCTACAGTAGCAGCTGAAAATGTATAATGAAAGAGCTCTATTTCTGAATAAATATATCACTGAAACATTGAGAAATAGCTGATTTATTGTAATCTGGGTAAAATAGATCAACTGTGGTTGATCTATTTTAATTCCATTAATTCCAGTCTCAACCAGAGACATAGCCAGGTGTTGAAGTTCTTTCAATAACATACACAATGCAGTAAAAAGGAGACTTTGTGGAGTTGAGTTCATCCAATGTGGATACAGAACAACACAGAGGAGGAGAGAAAGAAAGAATAATCTCAGAACAAGGGAGAAGAATAGTTGGGCCGGGGAGAGGAAGAGTGCCAGGGAGGAGTACGTGTTTCTATCCGGGTACATAATGACAGATGACACTAGATGTGATGTGGATGAGAACATGAAGATAATATGGATTAGAACAGGACTTTCCCTGTGCATTTTCTGTTTCAATGTAATTACATTTACAATTTACTAATTTGGCAGACGCTTTTATCCAAAACAACTTACAGTAAGAGATCTACAAGTGACCATACTGTAAATACTAGTTAGAGCTATCAGCATGTACAGCATCAGTAGGGTAAAATACTAAGGAAAAGAAGTAAGATTTAACAAATAGTGCAATCAATACAAGAGAATTGTAAGGGGATGGAAGAAGAAGAGCACACGAAATACAGCTAAGAGATTAGAGGTGTTGAAAGACGGACGCCCCTGCCCTGATGGCGTGTGGTAGCTTTCAACATTGTGGTGTTACAGATGAGAACAGCTGGGACTGAGATTGCTTTGTGTGCTGTGGTGGCAGAGCCAGACGGCCTTCGTTGGAGGAGCAAGGTGACCAAGAAGGAATGTAAATGTATTTGACAGTATATTTACACAAAAATCACGCTTGGATTAATTGTTAAACTTTCTGTAGTGTCACCTTCTGTCAAGCTTAAGGCCATTGCACAACAAGTCAAGGTACAGCGTAATGTGTGAAGTTGATGCTTTCACTGCAGACTGTTTTCCTCTCACGTGTCATGTGACCAGTGCGTAATCGCAGCCTTTGCAATTAGAAAATCTCGTTCTATCACATCACGATAAATGCAATTCATTGTTCAGCCCTACTGTAAAGTAAATTATAGAACATGTACAGTAAGTTATAAAACATCTACAGTACATTACAGAACATATACAGTAAGCTTTAGAACATGTACAGTAAATTCTAGAACATCTACAGTAAGTTATAGAACATGTCCAGTACATTATATAACATATACAGGAAGTTATAGAACATGTACAGTACATTATAGAACATGTACAGTAAATTCTAGAACATCTACAGTAAGTTATAGAACATGTCCAGTACATTATATAACATATACAGGAAGTTATAGAACATGTACAGTACATTATAGAACATGTACAGTAAATTCTAGAACATCTACAGTAAGTTATAGAACATGTCCAGTACATTATATAACATATACAGGAAGTTATAGAACATGTACAGTAAAATATAGAACATGTACAGTAAATTCTAGAACATCTACAGTAAGTTATAGAACATGTCCAGTACATTATATAACATATACAGGAAGTTATAGAACATGTACAGTACATTATAGAACATGTACAGTAAATTCTAGAACATCTACAGTAAGTTATAGAACATGTCCAGTACATTATATAACATA